CTTGATAGAAATGTAGTGGAGTGAAAAGTACAATATTTGTCTTTCAAATGTAGTGAAGTTAAAGTCATAAGTTTCCAGAAAAAATAATACTCAAGTAAAGTACAGATACTCAAAAAGTGTACTTAAGTACAATACTCAAGTAAATGTACTTAGTTACTGTCCGCCTCTGATCGCTTGTGACATTTCTAGTAAGCAAAAGTCTCCTTCACAAAGGCACTTTGTGCATAAAATGCATACAGTATCATATGGTGCTGCTGGTCTGGCTGGTGGACCAACATAGCCATTCTGTATAATTACTGGGACTGGTTAGATCCTTTCAGATTTTGCATTGAGCTTTGGATGTAACACACTGCTGATTTGCTGGCAAGCACTGCACGTCCTGAGACACTCCATAATCCCATCATGCCCCTCTCTATCCCTCCGATGTCAAGAACTCGCCCTTAATTACATAATGCTCACACTCTATTTATCAGGCCAGTTTAAAGTTGTCCACTTGTGTTCTGGGGGAAAACAGTCTATTTATTCTTACTATTACTAATATGAATCCACTAAATTTAACAACAACAGTGGTGTCTGCTTTAATATTACTAACTTAAACAACTGTAAAGATAATAAGATACAGATTGTTTTTAACAGAAATATGTCAAGTGCTTAAATATTCATGTGTTACTAAACAGTTTTAGCACAGCTTTTCTATTTATATTTCCATATTCAAATACACCAGACAGTAATGCATGTCAACAGTACCACATGTTTTCGTGTGACCCATTTACAACTAGAATTTGCCTACAGGGGACACTGGATTCTCCTCTTCCCTGTTTTTGTTTATCTTTCAAAAATTAAAACATTGCTACAGTGGTTATAGTGATAAAGATGACATATATACAAGTAACATAACCCACACAGACCGGACCCGGTGACGATATGAGATTGGACCTGGCACAGCACGGGGCTCTCAGACAGATTATTACATAATGTCCTCCTGGCTGAACTATCGCTCAACCTTTCAACCAGACCATTATCACCACACAGAGCAAATGGAGGTCTTGCTGGGTGGAAATGTCCAAAAACTTCCTGACGTAAAAAGCTAATTAGCACAAGCCATTACAACTCATTACAAACGGCTCAAGTCAATCACTCGAATAGAGCTCAAGTGAATCAAATCACTAAAGTAAAATAAAATAAAATATTATGATTCGGGGACTTCTAAAATATTTCATAACCTTACAAACAATATACATTTTCCCATCACAGGCATTCATTGGCAGGTCTTCTCTTTGAGATAGTGTAAATATTTAGTCTTAAGCCATCTGTGGGAGTGAGAGCAGGTTGTTCTGCAGGTTGAGTCCCATTAAGAGCCTATTAAAAGCATTTTCAAGCTCTGATGAAGTGATGGAATGTGAAGCATGTCTCACTGATGCAGGCGTCACTGTGGATATCAGTACCAGCTCTGCACTCCTCGTTTTTTTCTATCTCCTTTTCCTCCCTCCACCCTCTGGCCCCTCTTTCTCCCCTTACACTCTACTTATCCTCCTTTTCAGACTCTTTCAAGGCTAACACACACAGGGCTCAAGTAACATTTGCAGTGTCTCTCCTCGTCCTCAATTTAAGTTGCCTCTGTGTCTCCTGTAATTTACATTAAACTCTTTATTACATTAAACAAGCAGGATAGATACTGTGGGGTCCAAGAAGTCTGATACCACTAGGGAAAATGTTTTGATTTAATGACAGCAGATCTAATGAGCATCTTGTGGTTCAATTAAGAAAAACATCTGATCATCTGCACAAAGTTCACATGATCATTATCACTTATCAAATTTACCTAATGAAACAGTGGAGAATGTTGAATTGTAATGTATACTACCATTCAAAAGTTTGGGGTGAATATGTTTATTTTTTAAATTAATATAGATGCCTTATATTATTCGAAGGTAACAGCAAACATATTTATAATGTCACAAAAGATTTCTGTTTCAAATAAATGCTGTTCTTTTGAACTTCTATTCATTAAAGACTACGAAAAAAGGTGAATTGCTGTTTCTACAAAAATTATTAAAAAACACAACTGTTTTCAACATTGATAATAAGAAAAATGTTTTTTGATCACCAAATCAGTATACTAGAATGATTTCAGCAGGTAACAATGAAGACTGGAGTAACAGCTGCTGAAAATTCAGCTTTACCATCACAGGAATAAATTACATTTGAAAAGATATTCAAATGAAATACAGTTGTTTTAATTTATAATCCTATTTCACAATATTACTGTATTTTTGATCGGATAAATGCAGCTAAACACAGACTTCTCTCAAAAACATAAAGAAAAATCTTACCAACCCAAATCTTAGCAAATCAGCTATTAATTCAGTTAAGAATTAGTGAATACTGTAAAAACACAAGGAGTTTTTTTTCTCTCACTTTGATCTGCATTTCCTCACATTTCAGCATTTCAGCACACCGCTATGGACGTTTTCACTGCATGCGTTCTGTTGGCTCATACACAACTCTGATAAACTGAAAGCAAACAGTCTATTTTTAACAAACATGACGCCACATTCTTGAGGTAACCAATAAATATCTATAGACATTGAGGCATGTCACACATGGCTGACAGAAATTAAGTTAGTCTTCTGACCACCATAGCAAAGCGGCTTCTCAATTTTGCTCCAATCTCTAATTTCATAGCAGACAGTGACAACAAAAAAAAAACGTCTTGCGCCAATCAGCACCTACATGTCAGAATGGTGGGCCTTTTCCTGGTCCGGATCTTCTTGAACTTCCCGCGGAAGTCGCCGCTCAGCATCAGGTCTTCAGGTAAGCTGGCCATGCTCTCCAATTCAATCCCATCATTCTCCTGATGCTGCTCCTTGCAGCCAATCTCGCCGTACGACATCTCCAGTTGGCGAGCCACCCGGGAGCTGTCAGGCTTTCCGCAGCGGTAACATTCAACTTGCAATTTTCAGTTTGTCTGCTCTTCTTCTGCTGCTCTTTCTCTCTCTTTTCCTTCTGACAGAAGACTGAGTCTGGATCCCGGGCTGTTTCTTATACCAGTGTGTGCATGGGTGTGTGTGTGTGTGTGGTGTGGAGAGATGCAGCCAGATAGGAGCCCTGCTCTGCGCTGCAAGTGCGTTTTAACCCCCTCGCACTTGTCAAAGCAGTTCAGCCAGTTACAGTACAACGTATGAGAACAGGCAGGAGTAGGATTACCGTGCCGCCCAGTGACAAAATAGGAGAGGAAAAGGAAGATGGAGAAAAAGAACGAGAAAGAGACGTACAGTAGGAAATGCTGCAGTGGGCAGATCTCCGTCTTTGAGTAGTTATCTCAAACAAGCCGCTTCCGGCAGTCTGAGTCATTTAGTCCTCGTCCTGTGATAGTCCAGAGTGTGGGATTCCCCGAAGATAATGCAGAGTCTTGCCTGTCTTGTGTTTTTGGAGTGGGATCCCCAAACTCCGCTGGGATGGAGGAATCACTTAGAATTAGAAGGCTCTGATGTGGATTGTCCTTATTCAGTCACTAAGAGAAAAGCTCAACACAGACTGTGAAATGGGAATTGTTGCAACATGGGTGTAAACCCTCAGAGACTTAATGAGAAATCCCTGTAAAAAAATACACTCTTACCTTCTGAAGCTCATTTGTATTTAGAAATAGCACCAGAAACAGTCCACACCTACGTGAACGGATTTTTCCACTGTTACCCTACATGAGAAATACAAACCCACTTTGTGTGCACTTATAGGCGTTTTCTGTTTTAAAAGTATGTTTGTTTTGCCAGCTAGTACACTTAAGAATAGATATACTGTGTGCCACAACAAGAAAAATACAATTAGTGTTTTTCCCCTGATCTGGCTTAGTCACACCCTGTGATGTTGCATAATACACTAGAGTTAATAAAAATTTCTACTATTCAAATGTAAAGCGAATAAAAAAGGGGAAAAGTTCAGCTTGTGTACCTCATGGAAAACCACAATTGAATTAAGAGGAATTTAACCGCACAATATCACTTAAGTAATTAAATTACAGCTATGAAAGGAGGGTTGGTGTTTTTGGTGAATAGTAAAGCACTTTTGAGGACATGATGTGAACTTCATGGATTTTGTTTCGGGACCGATCCAAAGGTGTTGTTAGTAAATTTTACAATTTTGCATGAAAGTTATAGCAATTTTACACCACCATTCAAAAGTCTGAGTTAGATTTTGAAAATAAAAGTCTCTTCATGCTCACTAAGGATGCATTTATTTAATCAAAAATACAGCAAAAAATAATATTGTGAAATAATATTCAACTTTAAAATAACTGTATTCTGCTTACTCCAGTCTTCAGTGTCACATGATCCTTCAGATATCATTCTAATATGCTGATTTGGTGCTCAAAATAATAATATCATGTATATATAATCAGCAATGTTAAACAATAGTGCTGCTTAAAATATTATAGGAAACTGCAATAGATTTTTTTTCAGTATTTTCCAGTATTCTTTGAAGAATAGAAAGTTGAAAAACACTATGTATTTGAAACAGAAATCATTTGTAACATTGTAAATATCTTTACTGTCACTTTTGATCAATTTAACCAATCCATGCTGAACAAAAGTATTAGATTAAAATAAAAACATACTGACCCCAAAGCTTTGAACATGTAGGCCTATATATGCTTTGTGCCATGTTTTTATTTATTTCTTTTTATTTCTTTATTTACTTAACCTTGAAACTTTATTTTAATTTCAAAACTATGGTTTTAATTTGATGCAAAATTTGATACAAAACTTGTAACATAAGTTGCATAAATGCAAATCAATCAGTGATTGTTTAAAAAGTCTATTGTGCAATGGTGCAACTGCGCCCTCTAGGGTTAATATAAAATAAATCTAATATAAATAAACAAGCATATATGCAAGACTACCACAACTTTCCATAAGCGTGCATGTCGTGCATGTTCCATTAAAATCCATAAGAAAGGACATTGACCTAGGCCTAAAAATTGAGTATATCATATCAATCATATCAAAAGATAATGTCACACTTGCTTTCAAAACATGCTTTCAAAGAAAGTTTCCAGACACAGTTTAATGTCAAAAGCTCTTTCACAAGCTCCTGAAATGCAGAGCAGGTCTCTGTGGGCTGAGAGAAGTAGGCAAGGGTTTGGCGAAGGAAGCCAACACCTCCGGGCACTGCGAGAATTCAGCAAGCTGTTGCCATGGCGAGGGACATCTGAATTTGCATATGCAGAGAAGGGACTGGTAAATAATTGATGAACGCCTATTATTAGAATAAACTCATTTAAAGTGAACTGTACTTGGATGAGCCTTTATCTGTAAATTCTAGAGAAAAGAAGGGAGCAATTGTAAGCAACAGCAACAAACATCTGCCGCACTGCAAATAATCGAGCCGACGCACTCAGCTGGATGAGTGTGTACTTTGTCTCTGTTGACCCACTTAACATGTCATTTCTTAATCATTCGCGCAAGTGCAAACACTTTGGAGCATATGCGCATATTGAGTTTAGAGTGCTTTAGTTCAACACCACCTCTTAGAAGATCAATTCCTCAAATTATTTTTGGAAAAAGCGGCAGCAGATGGCCATTAAGAGGGAAACGCAGAAAGCATTTCGAATAGTTTTGAAACACTACATTGTGCCAGCCAATAGTTTAATGCCTGGGATAGTGAGAACATATCATGTGACTCATCAAAGAAGCTCTTTCAACCTGATCTCATGTACGTCCAGTCGAAGTGCTTCAGCTGCCATCTGGAGCTCAGAGACTCAGACCACATTGAGAGCCATGCACCTGCTCCTCATCACAACACACAAACCCAAACGTCAAGCTCAGCTATACATTTAACTCATGCTTTTTAGTAACCTTGCCTTGAGCATGTCTTGGGTGTTTTAGGATGTACTTACTCCAGTCTTCAGTGTCACATGATCCTTCAGATATCATTCTAATATGCTGATTTGGTGCTCAAAATAATAATATCATGTATATATAATCAGCAATGTTAAACAATAGTGCTGCTTAAAATATTATAGGAAACTGCAATAGATTTTTTTTCAGTATTTTCCAGTATTCTTTGAAGAATAGAAAGTTGAAAAACACTATGTATTTGAAACAGAAATCATTTGTAACATTGTAAATATCTTTACTGTCACTTTTGATCAATTTAACCAATCCATGCTGAACAAAAGTATTAGATTAAAATAAAAACATACTGACCCCAAAGCTTTGAACATGTAGGCCTATATATGCTTTGTGCCATGTTTTTATTTATTTCTTTTTATTTCTTTATTTACTTAACCTTGAAACTTTATTTTAATTTCAAAACTATGGTTTTAATTTGATGCAAAATTTGATACAAAACTTGTAACATAAGTTGCATAAATGCAAATCAATCAGTGATTGTTTAAAAAGTCTATTGTGCAATGGTGCAACTGCGCCCTCTAGGGTTAATATAAAATAAATCTAATATAAATAAACAAGCATATATGCAAGACTACCACAACTTTCCATAAGCGTGCATGTTTAAAGAATACCATTAAAATCCATAAGAAAGGACATTGACCTAGGCCTAAAAATTGAGTATATCATATCAAAAACTAAAGAAGATAATGTCACACTTGCTTTCAAAACATGCTTTCAAAGAAAGTTTCCAGACACAGTTTAATGTCAAAAGCTCTTTCACAAGCTCCTGAAATGCAGAGCAGGTCTCTGTGGGCTGAGAGAAGTAGGCAAGGGTTTGGCGAAGGAAGCCAACACCTCCGGGCACTGCGAGAATTCAGCAAGCTGTTGCCATGGCGAGGGACATCTGAATTTGCATATGCAGAGAAGGGACTGGTAAATAATTGATGAACGCCTATTATTAGAATAAACTCATTTAAAGTGAACTGTACTTGGATGAGCCTTTATCTGTAAATTCTAGAGAAAAGAAGGGAGCAATTGTAAGCAACAGCAACAAACATCTGCCGCACTGCAAATAATCGAGCCGACGCACTCAGCTGGATGAGTGTGTACTTTGTCTCTGTTGACCCACTTAACATGTCATTTCTTAATCATTCGCGCAAGTGCAAACACTTTGGAGCATATGCGCATATTGAGTTTAGAGTGCTTTAGTTCAACACCACCTCTTAGAAGATCAATTCCTCAAATTATTTTTGGAAAAAGCGGCAGCAAATGGCCATTAAGAGGGAAACGCAGAAAGCATTTCGAATAGTTTTGAAACACTACATTGTGCCAGCCAATAGTTTAATGCCTGGGATAGTGAGAACATATCATGTGACTCATCAAAGAAGCTCTTTCAACCTGATCTCATGTACGTCCAGTCGAAGTGCTTCAGCTGCCATCTGGAGCTCAGAGACTCAGACCACATTGAGAGCCATGCACCTGCTCCTCATCACAACACACAAACCCAAACGTCAAGCTCAGCTATACATTTAACTCATGCTTTTTAGTAACCTTGCCTTGAGCATGTCTTGGGTGTTTTAGGATGTAATTTACATGTTTTAGAAGTTTAACAACTAGCCCTATACTAGGGGCTGTAAATTTTAAAATACAATTTTAGCCCCTGCTTCTGAAATAAAATTCCATTTTTATTAGATTTGTGTATTTACTTGATTTAATGCATTGCTATAGAGTTACTAAAATGTTCAGACTGATTTTTGGCAGATTGCTTTGTGCTTTCTATCAGTGTTATTTTAGTATTATTTATATATTATTATTATTATTAATATTTTGAATTAGATTATTATACTTTCAGTTTTCATTTTAATTTTAGTTTAAATTGGATTAATTTTATGTTTTTGTCCTTTTTATTTATTTTTTAACATTTCTATTTAGCTTTAATTTTTTATTATTAATTTTATTTATTTTCTTTTTACATTTTATTATTAAAATTTTTATTTTTCATTTCAG